ATCAATGAAAATCAGTAATATTGTGTACAGTTTTATGTAAGAAACAGTTGTCTAGCACAGACTACTGATACTATACAGTACACTTAGTGATTCAAATCTTTCATAAATTGTATCATATTATATAACTTATTTGCAAATTAAATACAAATATCGAAATTTTTATTGATAACCATTGGGTATAGATTAGTCCAAAAAATTAAATAATAATAACTCAAATAAATTTAAATTAATGCAAATATAAAAATATATGTGAAAAATACATATAAATTGGAATTTAAATCAAAAGCTCATCAATTTTTCAACCGATAAGCGATATCTCGGATTAATTGATTGAAATGAACAAAAATTGAGATAAAAAATTGGTGCGAAAAACCATTTTAATGATTGATTGGCCACTAAATGGCTAAATAATAGCAGTTTGCAAAAAAATATGATGACTCTATTGGAGAGTTAAAAACTCCTAATCCTGTAATCAAACATAGAGTCAATTCTTATCTACTTTTCTGATCTCTAAACTGTGGCCACGAATGCATCGGTAGTTTAAGGATGAGGAGAGAGAGAGTGTGTGTGTGAACTGTGGCTTACCATCGATGAGATGGTTATCATCGCAAAAATGGTTACAATTATTTGGTTTCTATCTTAATATATATGACATTCGAGGCGTACGTCAAACTTAGTTCACGTTTTTTTGTTCACTTGTCGTGTGTTGTATAGTATTTAATGATTGTTTGACTCAACACTAGTTTTTTCATATATGATTTCACTGTAAGTCGTGTTATACTCGATGGTAAGGTATGCCACGAATTAGCGTTTATTTGTATTGAAGCGAAACTAAAACCTTTTTTAACGCTTAGATATTAAAGCGATAGGGGCTGTGATGGGAGGGGGAGGTCAGGGATAGGGAGAGAGAGCACTGGCCCTAAAAATTGTTTGGTCGCACACGTGTGCGCCTCTGTATGTCACACGTGTTGTCGCACTACTGGCCCCCACCATCCCCTCACCCCTTACTACGAGCGACTCTCTCCCGGTGTTCCAGTAGTGGATGGATATGGTATGTATGGATGCATTGGCTATCCATCTCCATAGTCAGTCTCCCTATTCTAATGCAAATACACACAAATCCAGTGGAAATGGAGAATATATGGCACCAAATATTAAAAACAATGTCACGGATTATGCTTAACTCAAATAGAGTTCCACTGCTTTTCTGCCCCTTAGAGAGAGAGAGAGAGAGAGAGAGAGAGAGAGACTTTTGGTCTCTCTTTCTATGCATTTAGTATACGTCTAATACTCTTGAATACAGAGTTTTATATATAATATAATGTTTTTATACTATATTTTTTTGTTTTGTTTCGCAGCTTTAGTTTAAATAATATAATGCATTGAATATGAAATAAGAGCTTATAGTATGCGAGCTATAAGTTTATGGTATATTAGCTGACAGTGTGGCGCACAGGCAGGTGTGTTATCCCGATGTATATATTTATACATATTATATATATAATACTGAATTCAAGTCAAGTGTTAGCATCGGATTAACTCGAGATTGTGACATTAAATTATGACTGAATGTTATATCTCTATCGCTTTAATTGTATAATATATTTACTATTGACTCATATATTATATCACTGTTTCTATGGCGTCCCAAACAACTCGTAAAATATTTTACTCAAAAATCACTCAAATATAATAAACCCGCAAAAAATACAGTAAAATATTGTTGTATCCAATTTATTTTATTAAATCTGTTTCTGTGGTTTACTGTTCATTGATTGAAAATATTTTAATTACATTTTATTAAACGTACGAATGTATCAAATTTATGAATAAATAGTTTGCGTGTGTTTTCAATACAAACACAGATATGATTGCCATTCATATCTCGTTCGCTCGCATCGAACAGAATATTCTCTAAATCTAAGAATTATTGAGAGAAAACATAACTAAACAAAAAAAGACTTATTGAACGTCAGGCTTATATATTGAGCAATAGTTTTGGGCAAAAATATGAAAATATGTTTAGAGACTTATCGCGAGTGGAAAAAATATAGTCTAAACGTTGGCTAAGATTTGGTATGATATATGAAATGATAGAATAAGTCTTAACCGATATTTTCAAAGAGTTTTTGGGCATAAATTGAAAGCATGACTGAGTCGGACCACCTGTGACTGTGAGCTGAGAGAGAGAGAACTGACTACCAGTGCAGGTGAACCTCTATATATGTGATGCATTGGGAGCATATAGTATACGGCCATAGGAGGAAAGGCGTACTGGAGTAGTGTATATGCATTAACGCTCCATCAGTTCAATAAGTTGTGTAACGAATGCATGGTTTGAATGCCTTCTCGTTTCTCTCTCTGCCATAGAGTCAGTACTGGACTGAAAACATACTGCTGTTAGCGAAACACACGGTTAGTATCCGTTTAGGAAACAGAGCATTCAATTACATGCTTTGATTCATTCTCTCTGATAGAGGAGAGAGAGAGAGAGAGAGAAGCTGAGGGCTGAGAGAGACAGTCAGTCACTACTATTAAACATCTCGAGAGCACTGATTGAACAGAATTTTAAATAATTTATTAGGTTTTCAGGTCTTTAGTCGCTCACAATTACTGTATACTCTTTTTCACACTATGTAATTGAATGCTCTGTTTCCTAAACGGATACTAACCGTGTGTTTCGCTAACAGCAGTATGTTTTCAGTCCAGTACTGACTCTATGGCAGAGAGAGAGAGAGAGAGACTATTTCAGCCTTTTGTGAGCCTTTACATCGAGTTTTACGCTTAATTCACAACTAAAGACAAAAAATGTACTCTTTTTCGGAAGTTTAGCTCTAATATTAGGGAATTATATATAAAAAGCACAGAATATCCAGAATATTGCACAACACACACACACACACACAGTACACACTAAACGCTCGCAATTGTTTGATAATTTAAATTCTTGACAACAAATGTAAAGAATATTTAATAAGCAATTGTGTGAGAAATATATGCGAAAACAATAGCACGACTTACTTATCGTAATCTGATTTGCAGTAGAGTTTTCTGTCCCTTATATAACACGTTTGGGTCAAAAGTATTTGACAAACAGTGCACTGAAGGCACGACTCATGCCAGGAGTGATCCATGACTCGCATGATATAGCGATCAGATATCGGGCGCTGACATCCGCAACACATCTCGGTGTTGGTTGTGTCCGATGATAATGAGATCATATTTGTATTATTTGTGTTATTATTTGTATTATTATTATTAATTTGCGAACTTTTCTTCGTTTTCTTATTTGTGCCTAAATTTGGAGATCAATAAGAATTTATAATTTAGTAATAATTTATTTTATACGTTTATTAAAAATTTTATTTAGTAAAGTAATTGTAAATTGTATAATTGTAAATTAAGTTTCATTTTTCTATTAAATAGTTATATTATTTAAAATATTTATGTAATTGTATTCAGATTTAAGACTTTTGTGTTTTTATCGTTTATTAGGTTATCAGTGAAAAGGAGTTTTTTTTAATTTAATATAATAGCCAAATGTTTTGGACCTACAATGATAACTGATAACTGATATGATTTACTGGTGTTTGAATTGGAATTGTATTCAGATTCCATGTAACATACAATATGCTAATTAAATGTATTCTTATATTCATTTTTTAAAATACTTTGAAAATTTCTCTTGAAATAAGTTATCATAATCTAATAATTGCTTGAATTAACAAATTAACAAATAAATAGGTGTTCTTATATTTTGAATAGAAATATTGTAAATTATTTGAGAATTAAGTATTTGTTTACAATATAAACCTAAAGATTAATCTAAATTTAGATAATTATAGATAAGTATAACTCATTCAACGTCATAATATCTGATTAACCATAAAAACGAAAAGTTAAATATATTTTTATACAACTAAACAAAAACTCAATACTAAACTCGAGATTCAGTCACAAAATGTATGATAACTATATAATAGTTAATAAATTTGTTATCAAAATTTCCCACAATTATCACAAAGAGATTGCGAGTGTGAAGTGGTTAGTAGTTTGTGGGAAAACTGGTGACACTTTTGCATTTCAAGTGTCGCTAAAAACCTCTATTTTGTAGACATTTATCGAGAGATTCTCTGGCAATCGAGTGATGAGAAGAATACAACAAAAATGTATTTTTGTATAAAATAAAGCCATGAGTGAGAAGTACGGCCCCAACACTGATAAGAGGCCTGTTATGTGTGTAGCGTTGGCCACAACTCTCACTATTAATACTCACAAAAAAGGTGTGAAGTGTTTAAGTGGACACTCGCTCAGGGACTCTACACAGCACTCTACCGGCGCTGTGAGTGTCGCACCGGCCTATTGTTATGGTCCACACTTGGGAGGCTCTCTCTCTCTCTCTCTCTCTCTCTCCCATTCATTACTACCACCACTACTACTACTTCACTATATTTAATAGACTTTAAAATTATATTTAAAGATTTTTTTGTTGGACACACACTCTCTTCAAACCCGACTCGTGTCTACAAATTTTTTGTGTGTCGTTCCTCTCACTCTATGGGCTTTACTGTACAAATCGCTCGGAATATGATTTTTAACATAAAATAATACACATTTTGAACACAAACTCATTGAACGCACGAAGGAAAACTATTTGCGCGACACATGTATGTCATTGTATTGATGGGCACACACTTTAAGGGACTTGGAGTCTATGTGTTGGGAAAGCCTTATCACTCGTATTGGTATTCAAAGTGTTTTTTCTCGGACACNGCTCGGAATATGATTTTTAACATAAAATAATACACATTTTGAACACAAACTCATTGAACGCACGAAGGAAAACTATTTGCGCGACACATGTATGTCATTGTATTGATGGGCACACACTTTAAGGGACTTGGAGTCTATGTGTTGGGAAAGCCTTATCACTCGTATTGGTATTCAAAGTGTTTTTTCTCGGACACACAAAAGTGCTGAGGGTCTCAAACACTCTGTATTCATAGCTTACTATTATTTGCGGTGATTGTGTCGCCGAGTGTCTCATCCATGTCATCCATATCACAACTGGTCTGACGGCAAGCGGCCCTCTGGTCGGTTATGTCGAAGGGCTGCCCCCCTGTGGGCGCCTTTCGCTTGTTGTGTTTCGCCAGAGTAGTGAACGGCCGACGCTTTTCGTCCGATTTCTGGGCTCTACTTCTCAACAGAATTTCGGAAATCGTTTCTGCAATTTATGTCACATTTGTTTAGTAATTATAAATTTTATACTAATATTACAATTCATTTAAGAAAGCCTTTCCCCAGCACTGCACCCATACTATGGTTACATAAAGTTTTTAAGTTTTAAACAAATAGCTATAAAATAATAGCAATTCTAGTCTCATAAACAGTAATTAAGCATAAAATGGTTATAACAAGAATATACATAAATATAAGAATATTCTTGAGTAATAAAACAATACATAAGACATTTGACTCACCGAATGGAAAGGGAGGGCAAGAGAGTGGTGTGTATGTGTGTGCTAGAGAGCACTGGTATGTATATAACGGATACAAATGTGTTGCGGTTTGGTGTAGCAAAAAAACAAAGTCGTTGTTAAGAATAATAATAATAAAAATCTCACGAAACGAGTGAAAGACAAATAAGAAAAACACAATAATTCTGGCGATGAATACAACGGCGATATCGAGGGCCGGCTTTTGGCGCACAACTGACTAATAGATGATTAAAAGCCATAAAAACAACTCTCGGTTTTAATCAATTAATTACAATATAAATGGCCGGGCTATTAGTCAAAAATATTTCGCCATCCATTCACTTGTAGCTCAACCATCATATATACAAATATATTATATATATATACAGTATATCGCATGTAATACCAGTGCTATTCTGTGCCGAGCGTTAAGGCAAAGTACCATTTCGGGCAACCCGTACGTATAGGTTGTCTATTACGTGCAGTTTTAGGTTAGGAGTGTATGTATGTGTGGATATAAAACGGTAGGCGCGCATCGCCGGCTCCACCATCCAATGGTAGGCCTGTGCGCTCGTGGTGTCGGTGCGATCGATAAATGGGTTGGCGCTGGCATTCCGCGACCAAAGGAATGCCTTTTTTCCACTCAATAATATTTGGCTCACTTTTGGCTGTAATATGTTGTGAGCGATGAACACAACACACACTTTTCAGGCACCGTACGACTGGACAGACATTACTCTCCATCTAATTATCTATTTATTTTGCACGCAAACAATCTCTCATGTCTTGTGTCCAAACAGTTTTCAGGCTTTAAATTGTTGTTTTGATTATCAGTTGTTTGTAGTATTTTTTTGCATTTGTTATAATTTTATAGATTTTTTGAATAGCGATTAAAAATTTTAATGTTGTTTTGAATCGTATTCACATTATGGGCTAATTTATTGCCATTTGATTGCGACTTTTGGCACATTTTTTTGTTTACTAATAATAAATACTTTTTCCCGACTCTTGTGTTTGCTTTAGTATTAGTGTTCGCCAAATAAAGCCACCATTAAATGGTATGGTAGGGGAGGGTATTACCATATGATTCATTTTGACATTTAAAACATTAAGTATCAATTTATGGAGATCGTGGCTACCCCTTACTGGCGACTAATTTTTAGATTATTTCTATGTAACTCATATAAATTGCTTGAATTACACACTACACTGTATAGTGACTACAGTATATGTTTAACACAAATTGCCTTTATTGGGTAAAAAATTTTATGAAATAAATTTAAATTAATAATATTTTTTGAATTAATACCTAATTATATGGTCTCAACAAAAAGTATTGTACAGTAGATGTGATGAACGTATGCCTGAAATGTTAGGCGAAACCAAATAAATAAGTCCAACAATAGGATCACATTTAGTTCACAACTCTATAGCAGTTCACTAATGCCTGAATGACACACGACACTGACATTAGGTCTCTCTCCTCTTAATGTTTGTGATGAGACAGTGGAGAGAGAGAGAGAGAGATAGCCACCATTAAATGGTATGGTAGGGGAGGGTATTACCATATGATTCATTTTGACATTTAAAACATTAAGTATCAATTTATGGAGATCGTGGCTACCCCTTACTGGCGACTAATTTTTAGATTATTTTTATGTAACTCATATAAATTGCTTGAATTACACACTACACTGTATAGTGACTACAGTATATGTTTAACACAAATTGCCTTTATTGGGTAAAAAATTTTATGAATTAAATTTAAATTAATAATGTTTTTTGAATTAATACCTAATTATATGGTCTCAAAAAAGTATTGCACAGTAGATGTGATGAACGTATGCCTGAAATGTTAGGCGAAACCAAATAAATAAGTCCAACAATAGGATCACATTTAGTCCACAACTCTATAGCAGTTCACTAATGCCTGACTGACACACGACACTGACATTAGTCTCTTTCGGTCTCTCTCTCTCTCTCTTTCCTCTTAATGTTTTTGATGAGACAGTGGAGAGAGAGAGAGAGAGAGAGAGAGAGAGCTATCGTCACAACAAATTAAAATTCTCGCGAATTAGACGGAAGAGTATCTGCTTTATTGTCTGTCAATGTTATTGGTGTGGATATTGGCCTGTCATCCATCCATAGGCATAGCTAACTGTGATAGTCATCCCATTCTTATAGCGAAACGATATGCAAACACGTGTTTATTGTGCGCTAAGAGTGAGCGGCAAATAAGTCTCGCGCTTCTCGATAGGGATGACCCGAACGTCCGTCGAGTTTGCGGTTAATTCTCCGCATATTGTCATCACTGCTTCGCTCTCTCATCCGTATCCCATATATCCATACATACAAGCAGTTTATGGGCACAACAGTCATACAGTGAGGTCGTCCCCTACACTACTGTAAGCCTACGCACGCCTTTGCAAACACCGATTTTATTGAATTGTTAGGCGTTTTATATAATGAAAACTTACGATTTCACACGCATTTCAAAAATTGTAACACAAAACAGATATAATGGGCTCTGTTTTCCAGTGTCTCTCATCTCCATCTCCTCCCAGTGCTCACTCACTCACTCTCTGGCAGTGCCTCTCATCAACTGCGGGGCATCTCTTTTATGCCAAATAGACTATTATATTATACTATACGACACATACATACGTGAGAAGATGACGTCCCTCTCGGTTCGCTGTCTATGCGATCGCTTTACACATCAATGTCCTCCTATTGTCCCGTATTTTGCTTTCACTGCCAATGGATTTGCATTTTATTGTCAGTCAATAATAGGAATTAGTCCATAGTTTTTGAATGTCATCATCTCTCTCGCTCTCTCTCTCGCATTTCTTTTAATACTATTTGCATAATGTTTTTGGTTTTCTACTTAGCCTTTGAGAGGCATTTGTATGGATTGATTGCTATTTAAATTGATTGTGAGTCTGTTTTTCATGTTTTGGTCAAAAACTAGCTTTAATTATGCTTTCAATGTATTCATCATTTGTATACCTATTGAATGGCAATTCACATCTAAACCATTCACAAGTGATTTATTGGGTAATTAATTTGTGAGATAACTTATTATTGTTTATAAATAAATTGTTGACAAATAATTCAAAACAATTTTCAAAATATGATTTAGTTTTTATTTTGAATAAAAGTTTTATATCTCTAATATAACATTTCATTTCAATTTTCACATTTCATTTATACATTTTACTGAATAAAAAATAATACACTTAACGTAATATGCAAAAATAAACTCGATTAATTTTAATAGTAATAAAATAACAGTCTATTCATTTGAATTGAATAACAAATTCATACTTTAGTAGAATTTAAATTAAAGACTGTTTTAAAATTATTTAAAAGACGCAACAGTAAGCACATTTTAATTATACAATGAGTTTATAATAAACTCATAAATAAAACTGAATTTAAAAGCACAATAAATAGCAATTAAAAAATAAAGGCAACGCCATTACCGGACACATCTCCGCTCAGCTCAACCATTATTTTCTTCAAATATTTTCTTGAATCTGACCAACCTTTCGGCCATCGGTCTCAAGTCATCTTGAAATACATCCCTGAGTTCGATGAACTTATCGACCATTGGTCTCATGCGATTGACCTCCGCTTCGGAGATGTCCTTCTCATGAGTCACTTCTTGGAGCTGTTCTCTGAGCCCATTGTTCTCTTCGTGTAACATCTTGTTCTCCTTCAAAGCCTCCGCCAGAGCTGCGGTCTTCTCTTTGACCAAAGTCTTGTAGTACATCGGATCGGTAACCTCTCTATCAGTCATCCATCCGGTCTCAGCCGCCACTCGTCTGCTCTCTTCGGCGGGTGTATTGGAGGCCATACCTCTGGTGAGGAGACGATTGTCTTAACTGATGAGTTGTAGGGATTAAAGGGAACGCCGTGTCGACACAACTATTATTTTCTGTAAGCTTGCATACAGAATATAATGAGATAAGCAGTTTAATGTGGATTAATAACAAACTTAGAGTATATTTAGTGTTAAAATTTAACCTTAATTCGTAATCAAAGGTATCGCTGTATATAATGGCTATGATATGAAATTATGTATTCATTACATACGTAATGAATAATAAGTATATTTGGCATTCAATAGACATGAGCACTGTATCACTGATTGCACTCATTTATTGTATGCCTTATTTGGAGAATTCTTTAATGTGTCGCAAATTCTGGTGTTTACACCAGTTTTGGGTAAATATACGGCAAACCCATTCAAATGGTGGTTAATATTATATGAAGTGTTTCTACCCTATGAACCAATATTTCGGTATTTAAGATCAAATCATTTCTAATACTGTGGTATTATCGGTATAGTATGTATTGATAATAATAATATTATGAATGTACTTACATACTGTATTTGCACTGTAATACTAATTCTATATTCTGTAAAATTTAATAATGTTACCGATTTTATTAAATAGAATTTAATTTACTTTATTACAGTTGTTAATGATTAAAATATTGTATAGTTTTGTAGAATCTAGTATATTTATTCTATATATATTTTTAATGTTCGTTAAATTAAAATTTATTCACTATACAGAATGGAAATACCTAATACATACTGTATATAGTTCACATAAAATTAATCCAAAACTGTAAAAATGAATTTAATGTAAAATTTTAGTGAATAAATAAAATGTTGAGTAAAATGTTTGTATAGTTTAAAGTCTAGTTTTAAGTTCATTAATAATAGCGGTATTAAGAGTGTGTAAAACAGCCGTAAAAGGGCTTTTTAAAAAATTGTTGTCATTAGTACGGGAAATCCTATCTCAGAAAAATATCTGACTTTTAATAAAGTCAGGGCGAGTGGCAATGTAAGATAGGATTGCCAGTACTAATGACAATTAAAAAAATTATTTAATGTATCATCAAATGGTTCAATATGATAGTAACCAAAAAGTGTAAAAGTCCTTTTGCTATTCATTATACAAAAACATACTTGACTATAATTTTTTAGATTTTCTAATTTTAAACATTGAATATTTTCTAATGAATATATGATTAATTAATAAATTAATATATTCTTGACTTTAAAACTATTGAATAAAATGCGAACACATTATCCATTCAAAAGTGAGCGCTTTGTCACAAATGGGACCAAAACGGAGGCAAACCATTGGCTGTCAAGTGTTTACGTGTTTCGCTGTCACACTAGGGTTGGCGATACACATAAACCACACACTTAATTATAATATGAATTGTATCCACCAATGAGTATTATGGCCAAACAAACGGACCTCACTTATTAAACTAAACCACGATCATTTTATTTTGAGTAATTATTATTAATTATCCAAAGTGTGCCTGCTCAATAATCCTAACTTGTATCGCCAGGTGACACATGAGTGATGTATGTCTACAACCCTAATATGTTTATGTTGTGATTGACTGTAATGTCTGTAATAAACAGCTGTTTGTCTCGCAATCACTGCTCATCTCTTCGCCGATTGTGTCCACCATATAATCACATCCATAGCCACCGATCGGCTCGTGTTGTCTGACTCGCTGTCCAACTGATCCCGACATCGATTCGGCCGCCAATTGATTGCGCGCTCTTCGCCTCCTGTGTCGCCCAACAAATACTGACCACTCATTCAAATGTCACTCAAATTGTCTTAAGAAACGGTCACTTCTTTTGATATTTATTTGCCGATCACTCGATTGTCGACACAATGCTATCGGCGCTCAAGAGGTTGGTCTCCCATAACGACAACCAACTGAAGGCGTCGCCCACCGATCCATCCATTCATCGGTCACCCCATGGAGTGTCACCAATGGATCAGTTGTTGCAACGAAAGTTCGCCAAAGGAGTCCAATATAACAGTAATCCCGAAGACATTTGGGTCTTAATTATAGCCGTGAACTCAATGTCTGTTTTATTGCCATTTCAGTGAAGATTATCATAAAAGGCGACCGCAATGTGGGAAAGACGTCGCTATTCCTGCGACTCCAAGGGCTGGCCTTCAAAGAGGATTACGTGCCCACCGATGAGATACAGGTCTGTATGGCGTCTGTCTGTCTGTCTGTCTGTCCACCCGATTATCTCAACACTAATGTCTCGCAAATGACTGGACAACAGGTGGCGAGCATTCAGTGGAACTATAAGGCGACCGACGATGTGGTGAAAGTGGAGATCTGGGATGTGGTGGACAAAGGAAAGCCTAAAAAGAAGTCGGAGTCACTCAAGTTGGACAACAAGTCGGGGGCGGCGGTGACGGCGGCGCCCGTAGTGCCGGACGAGGAGCAGCCGGCGCTCGACGCAGAGTTTGTGGACGTCTATAAGAACACGAATGGCGTGATCCTCATGATGGATATGACCAAACAGTGGACCTTCGACTACGTCCAGAGGGAGCTGGAGAAGATGCCCAAAAACATACCGGTGCTCGTGTTGGCCAACCACCGGGATATGGGTCACCACCGGGCGGTCACCGAGGATCAGGTGAAGGGCTTCATTGAGGGCTGCGTCGAGTCGGTGGCCAACGGTGGCGACGCCAGTGAGCGCCGACAGATCCGCTACTCGGAGGCGTCGATGCGGAACGGCTTCGGCCTCAAGTATATGCATAAGTTCTTTAACCTACCGTTCCTTCACCTGCAACGCGAGACTCTGTTGAGACAACTGGAGACCAATCTGTCGGATATGGAGACGACATGCGATGAATTGGATTCACTGCAGGACTCGGACGACCAGAACTACGACCTCTTTCTCGATCTCTTGACGAATAGGCGCCGAAGACTGGCCGACCAGTTGTCGAAACCGGCGCCGACGGACCTCCAGAACAACGGCGTCGCCCCTCACCACCAGCCGCCCAGAAGTAAGTCCATGCCGTCGAGTATATCGCAAAAGCTGTCGTCCCATATGAACGGCGGCGCCAATAGTATGGAGCCGCCGGTGAAGCCGACGCCCAGTATTATAATCGGCGCCAATAATCCACTTCCGGCCAAATACTCGGCCAACAGTCTGGCCGTCGGTTCGCAGGCCAACCAAACGACGACTAATCAAAGTCCGGGCCATCAGTCAAACCCTAAGAGTAATAGCAATGCGTTTCAAAGTGTCGACGAATTCATTCCGGAGGACGAGAAGTCGTCGTTCAGGCAGTTCCTCGACGAGCCACTCAATGCTATCAACGCCGCCAACGATGTCAAGTACGACGACAACACCGATAGGTATGGCCAGTGATAGCGCCCATCAGTTTTGTTTCGATAACTCATTCCTATTGTTCACTATTGGCAGCGATAACGACACGACAGCCGACAACCCAATGGTCGCCAAATATCAGGAGGAATTAGATCCCGAGGACCAGGTGTCCAACGGCTCGCTCGACGAGTTGGCCGCCCGGCCCACAGTCGCAGACATCATACGCGAGTCGAGCGATGATAACGACATCGAAAAGACTTTGACTGAAACGCCGGTCGCTAACCATAAGGCCAACCGAAGCGTGTTTTCCATGAATACGATAGACGGCGACGACATCTCCGCGGCGGTCGACAATCACTACAACACCCGGCCGTCGGTGAGCGTCAGTCGCAACGCCTCGCTATCGACGCCCACGAGTTCGACGCTGACGACGACGGCCACGCCTACGAGCGCTGACACCAGCGAAATGGGCAGCGAATCGGGTTCCGCGACCACCAAAACGGGTCGCAAAACGCATTCAAAAACCAAAACTAAGACCAAAAAGAAGTCGAAGACTAAGAGGAAGGGCGCCGACGATGAGGACGACGAGCAGCGACGGCTCGAAGAGTTCTTAGGGCCGGACGTGAGCCGAGAGGTGACCGCTTACGAGGAGTTATGAAATAACATATGATTTGATATAAAAGATTACATTTAAATGCAAAAAGACTTATACTTTGTTTAGAGCTTTCGATTCATTCATCGCTTTTGTAATGATTACTGAATAAAATTGTTATTCAATTATACTTAACATTAAATTTATAGAGTTTTTTCTCACCAAATATTAGTAATTAATAATTATATATTTAATATATCGATAATATAGTGATAATTAACAATAAATTTCGTAACAACTATTAGAGATTTAAAATGCGATAAAAACCGATTTGTTAACAAAAATGTCATTTTCTGTTGCGATTATAATAAGTGCTTTAAAATGTGTTTTTCAAAAAGACTAACAAATACTTTGCGATAAGTGTTATTCAAAAATAATTTCCACTTATATTTAGGTCCCATTAGAGCGCGGGATAGTTGGCCTCAATTTTGAGGCAATTTCTTGGCCGACAATATGTAGCCTTTGGTTTGCAAAATGCCTTTTCCGGCCACTATTATGGAGTACCGGGCGATCCACACGCGCTTCCATTGCTTACTGTCCGCCACTAATGGCGACATAATCTCATGAAATCGCGATTCAGGCAAGAAATCTGTGCATAAAAACCACAAACAAAACAATTAATTATTTTTCACGTTAATCACAATTAGCTAAACATTAAACACACAAAACACTGATCACTGATAAAGTCATACAAATCCACAGAAATCATGTTTGCAACCAAACAGCCATACATTACATACAGATATCACTCTTTAATTAGTACCCAATTTATAACTACCGGCTCTCAATGGACTCCACAATCAATAGCTACCGTACCTCTGGGGTCGTTATGTGTGAGCAGTTGAATGTTATTGCGTTTGGCGTATGCGCTCATCTCCTCGGGAATCACACAACAGGCCTCCAGATTGACGTGATTGGTGGTGGGCTTGGATGTGGGCGCCCACTCGTACAGCGCCTCCAGTTGGCTGGTGTCCAGGTCGCTGACGCCCAACTGGACGGCCCTGCCGTCTCTCACGTACGTCTCGGCGCACTCCCAGAAGGGCTTCATGTCGTCCAACGACAACTTCTGCGGCCGTATCGGCAACGATATGATCATCGAATCGATGGACTCCACGGCCAGCCTCTTGAGCACAATGTCGACGGCGTTCCGCAGCGTCGGACAGTCGGCGCCGCAGAAGCTCTCGTCGAACAGAAACAGTTTGACTGTAATCCGGAAGGTCTGCCTCTCGGAGGCCGCCATCGCCGGGGATGTGTTGTCGCAGACGAAGGCCACCGACGGATCCGTCTTGAGCTCGCCGTTCGGCTCCCATTGGCTCACCATTCGTGTGATGCCGTCCGCGAACTGGTCGCCCGTATGGGTGATAGGGATGGAGGTGTCAGTCAATTGATAGTTATATTGCGATCACTAATGGCTGACCTCTTCGTTGGGAAGTATAGAGAGCTTGCGTTTGATGTCCTGAAGTGCCAACAGATTCCCGGTGTCTATGAATACCGATGAGACGCTCGATGGCAGCGATTGGGTATTCTTCTGGGTCTCCATATTGTGGCCACAACTGTCTTATCACTGATACGATAGGTTTTGATCTGCAAGTGAATAGTGGTATCAAATGAATGGTAACACAAGTGGTGTCTAAAGAAGTCTTACTCCGGAGGAAGTGGTGAGTGTTATGTGTAGACAATACTGAAGTGTCGGTTGATTTAGAAATTTTTTTTCAAAACTACTGTTAAATGATTAGAAAAAATACATGAGTTTTGGTGACAAACGATACGAAACCTTAATCTCAACGCAAATCTCAATACAAATGAAATGAAAACTAATTTCGTATTCAAAATGAAACACAAAATCAAATGAAAGCGAAAGTGAATTGCATTTTGCAATGCATTGCAGAGTTACACAACAGCTGCCAATTGGTGGCACTTTATATGTCACGACACGCTATGGGTTTGTTGTGCACAAAAGGGACCCAAACAGCGGCTATTGTAGCGAATGTTATGAGAAATCCATTTAAACTTTAAAATACGAAAACTGCAACAAAAAATAGTAAACAAATGGTTTGAATGACAGCTGAGACTCACTCTAACATACCATCAGTGGTCAAGTGAATCAATGAGTGGATAAAACACCGGAAGAATGCAGTCATCGCTGTCTGAAGACAGATGAGTCGGGATGTCATCCAACAGAAGACAATCCAAGCGTTGGTGGAGTCGACGG